TGATGGCCAGGTTTCTGGTTAGTTCACCATCTCTCTTGCCTTGCTAGTCTGGTAAACACTGACCATTTTTATTTACACTCCTGTTGAGACAAAGTGGTCAGCTGCCAGCCACAAGTGTAAATTATTCAAGGTCCCCATGACTGTAAAAATGAAATCATTTACTTTAAGCTGCATTGCAATATAAAACACTTACAGAGGCCAGGAAGCAGGCCCTTCACAGGCACTTCTGTACCACCCCACCTCTATTCAAGTGCTATCCATTCAGTTCAGCCTTTCTCTGGATGTTTATAGGCAGTTATACAGCAGTTTCTCTGTTGCCATCATCTTGGTTAGAAAGGGACTCAGACAGGAGAGACTTGTAAACTGGAAGTCAGTTTTGAGCATGATACAAAACTTAAATAGAGTCAAAAAAGGCAATGGTCCACCCAAGCCTAGAGGCCCATGAGACCCATGTGGGAAGGCACTCCAGGTTCTGAAGCTAACAGCACACCAGTGAGAGCAGTGGCAGCATCACACCTGGTCAGCTTAGACTCTGCAACCCAAATGATGAGCTGCCCAATTTACAGCTGGGTCAACCAAGGACAGTTTTTAGCAAAAACCTGAAGGGAGACTCAAATTCACACCTCTGGAGCCAGAACAAGATGCTCGTCTGTTAACTGAGGGATGGTGGCAGAGCAGTAACCATCTATAAGATATCGCCAAAGGCCTTTAATGGCCTCAGGCTAAGCAGACTTGCCCTCCAATTCGGCATCTTCTCTCTGTTGCTTTTCCCTATGCAGACAGCTTGAGAGATGCCTACGGTTCCCAATAGTCACTTCTCAAATCCCCCCCAGAGTGATATCAACACAACAAATTTCCAGAGTTTCCACTGACAGGAAGAGGGAAACATTAATGGACAGATGGTGCATCAACGCCCCGTTTCCCCAGATTGGAAAGGAGATGTGGTAAGGATCTGGAGATCCCAGATGGTCCATCAGGGCCCAGCCATTATTACTCATTTCCGCCCAATTTTCACTGAAGGTTATAGTTTAATAATATCCTCAGTTCTCTAGCTCTTTTAGTTGGAAGAGTTGAACTCTCCACTTCATGTTGTTCTGCAGATCCCCTTGGCAGAAACAGAACAGGGACTGACAAAACTTGTATAAAGAGGAGAGAGGCGGCCTGGTGCACCCAAGAAAGCTCTGCTAATAAAACCAGTAACTTGTGAACAAGCTCTCCCTTTTCCCTAATCATGCTTGTTGATTAGGGGAGAAAGACACTGAACAGTAGTTCAGAGAATCCTTCTGATCTCAGGCTTTGAAGGAATAAGGTTTAATGGTAAGGGCATCCCCATTAATAAGCATGTTTACAGTGCTCGGTGCACCCCTATCAAAATACTGCACTTCTAAAAATAAGGACAATACACAATGAAACAGTCAAACTTTAAAAATGTATCTGTATGATTAAAGTAACCCAAGACACGGGCCCTGAAAAATCAGGCATCCGAATAACCAGTTGTTCAGCACAGACATTTCCCTCCTCCACGTGCTGAGCAACTCACATTTCTTTTTGACAGCGGCAAACAGGTGGCAGAGTGGGATGAAATTGGGTTATATCAGAGACAAGCCTGGCAGCACAGCTGTAATTAAGGGTATCTTAGATTTTCCATATTGAATCCAGATTGCTTTTTTAGAAGAACAGTTTGTAACTTAAATATTTTTGCTTTGCACTTGTTCTCTAAAGCACCCGTAGTTGCAAACTTTTGGGTGCTTTATAAATAATAAGATGTAAACCACCTAATCTAACTGTTCCTGCCCAAAGCAAGAATCTTGAGTGGTCCAGTCATAGTACAAAGCCCTGAAGTCCAGAGTGTCCAAACAACTTTGGAAAATGAAATCCAGGATGTCATTCTCTTGCTGCCAACACCCAGACCCTCAAATCTAGGGTCTGACCACAGAACACACCGACTGATTTTCCCACCGGAAAAGCCTTGTAGTTGAGTTTATGAAGCAAAACAAGACAGCATGACCTGACATTAGCTCTCAGAAGCGGAAAGTACCACATTCCTAAATGCTAAGTTTGCCTCCATATACATTTAACTAACAAGAGGCTAATGCTTACTGGTTTCACTTGTACCAAGTGAGGCTCTGACCTTCAATGCAGAAAAGGATGTCTCATCCACCCGAGTTAATCACAGCTAACATGACGTTAACATGACAGTCCTAGTTTACATTCACAGCAAATGCAAAATTGCAATTATCAGTTGAACATTACACATTAAGATATTGTTGTGTAATTCAAGGCAAGCCAATCCACTTGTGTCTCATTTTGCCACCTTTAAAACAGAGGTAAAAGGGCAGCAGCACTCCCATGTTCAGAAGGGCTGCACTCCAGACTTGGAGAAGTATCTGCTTGGAAGACAGTCCACCCAGCACAGGTTCTTGGGAATAACAAATAAGGATGGGGATAGATCCTCAGAATAAATATCACTCAAGTTTCTCTGACTGATGAATCTTAATGGAAGGGTCCTCATTTCTAGGAACCATGACCCAACAAAACAGACTGATCACAGAAGAGTCCTTGGGCAAGTCATTAGTACAAAGTGAACCTGGGTTCAGGCACTGGACCTTGCAAAACTTGCCTGCAAAAGCCTACACCAGCAAGCTAAACGTAACTCATGCCTTGTGCTGATGTCAGCACTGGTGCTCCAGTTACCTGGGATCTGCTCTAGCATTTCTGGGATTGTATCTGAGGTCTCTTAGCAAACTAGCAACCTGTAGCAACTTACTAACTCAAGCAAGTCTAGGAATTGATCTGCATTAAGTTGTGATCCAAATTGTCTGTGCAGAACTGTTCTTAGATCACTGACATACTCAACCAAGGCATGTGCAGCTCTGCAGACTCCTTGCTTCTGCCCATTCTTCATGGTGCCTCCAGAAGCACTGGATGAGCTATTTCTGCCTGTGGGTGAGTTGTTACTGAAGCAGGATGTGGTTAAAAGATGTAGAAGACTGTGAAAGGAATATCAGCATGAGTTTGACCCTCTGAAGACAGCAAAAGGTCTCAAAGTTCTTTCATGCTGGATGTTGACTTGACAAAATGGGGCTACAATTACTTCAGATTCCTCATACACAGACCAATACTTCTGGGGCAGAATAAATAATATAGAGTGGTGCCGTCACATCACCATGCAGACCAGGAATGATCAGCAGTGGCTCTAGAACTTCCAGATAAGAATATAGGCCTCCATGAAGCTATATAAATAACTTACCTCAGCCTTCACTGAAAAGACACATGGTATAAGGGACATCACCAGTCCAAATGTAGGTTGGCATTACCATTTGAAAGCTGGCTACCCAAAAATGTTACAGGTCTGTGCCTAACCCATTCATTGTTGTCCAGTCCATTGTGCTGTCCATTGTGTTTTAACAGAAATGTGTGAGGAAATTAACACTGTGGTCTGCACGTGGGGGCAGATGTAACTATTATGCTTGGAAAAGCAGCTGCGTTTAACAGGGCTTCCCAAACAGTTCTGGGGCCATTGGTTGCACCCATGTGTTCATAGAGTCCTGCACCAGGGAGCACAAGACTAGGTAAACCAAAGAGGAAGCTACTCCACTGTTCTGCAGGTTGACCACAAAGGCAGCTCATGAATGTTCACTTGGGGTTAGTAGCAAGGTACACACCATGTGCAGAGAAGATTGGGCAAATATCTGTTTACACGTATAGGGACCTTACCACTTTATTGATGAGGTATGTAGGTCCATTCTTATTTTAGGCCAGGGATCCTACTTACTGCTATGATTTGTAATAAGACCACCTGGCAGAGGAAGACTTTATTACATACTTAGCAACCGTAGGACTATGGTACAGTGTACATTTAATAGGCTGAGAAGAAGACCATGTGAAAGCTGGTTGGGACATTGCCATCTGCATTACTGATCCCTACTGCATCCTGCATGACACCTGCAAGGATAAGGTCGAGATTTTGCCTGGAGTGAGTTTGGGAAACTGCTGGTCCAGTGAGGCAACCAGACAATGCAGCTGTCATTACTGGGACTGGGACCGCAAGGGATTCTTTCTGCACCGCTATTCTTGCATCACAAGGTGAGATGCAGAAGGGCAACGTGATATGTGTACTACTGCCATCCAGATACCACTTTATTTGCAAATTTGCAATTATCAGGCCTCGTCTACCCAGAGTCACTTAGGGGAGTTAAGACAAGGTGTGAAACTGATACAGTAAGTTAACGTGTTAAAACCCCATGTGGAAATTCTCATTTATGTGTGAATTGACCTTATACTGCACCCTAAGGGTTTTAGGGTATTAAACATACGCTCACATACATGCATTGCCTTCACATTTTCAGCTGACCTGCCTTAGCTTTTCATGGGCTCCCAGTGTACACAAGCCTTTAGAGACTTCTCTGTTTGACTGAGACTTTTGGCTACAACTTCCTGACTTTGCCTCCTTTTTCCAAGGACTTGCATGGCAAGATATTTTGTAACCAAACCAATTTATTAACAAATAAAAAAAAACAAACTCATTGTGAAATCCACTGCAGGCATCCCAGCTGCATATACCACCATTAAACCCCACCCTGCATAAACAGAGACACTAAATCTCCCTGGCAGAAATGCGCTGGCTGTCTTTATTTCCAGCTGTATGGGATGCACAGGGTAGAATACATGGGAAAGATCTGCCTATTCTAGTTCATAGAGTGATTCACAATCCACCCAACCCCTAATGTACGCAATGGCTGTAGGACATGATGGTGCGGAGGAGAGGCTGCAAATGCTGGAACTGAACACTGCAGTCTGGTGGGCATCAGGATGAGCAGTTATTCAAAGTGCTCTCAGTTTTGCTTCCTCCCCAACTCAGCTGTGCTCAAGATACTACTTGATAATCATCTCCTCCCTTTCAGCAGTTAACATCCTTCCTGTCCTGGCAGTCCAGGTGTTCTGACCAAAGTTGCTATGCATTTCACATAGCAACTCATCCCTGAACATCATCCTTTTACCTCAATGGTTCCAATTTTCTCACCAAGAGTCCTGCGAGGCTGTCTTGTCACAGGAGTTGGAAGGTTCTGCCATAGAAATAAAAGAACATATTTTTCACCCACAGAAAGAAAGAAGAAATCCCTCATTTTACAGTCTGTATTATGTTAATGCCACAGCTTGATAACATCATTGGTTTAGTATACCTTTATTCTACTTTTATATACAAGCCTGTTCAAGAACCTCTGCCAGCCAAGTTGCCAGCTCACAGGCTGATAACACTTCATGGTAAACATTGTATATTTAAACCGAACAACCTACTTTCAGACCTAGTTTGGGGGAGGGGGTAGGGAAGGGCTCAATGCAATTAGTCCTAACTCGAACAATTTCAGATCAGGGAGGCCTTAGAGACTGTTACTGCTGGACAGGCCATCTATGTACACAGGGTATCAAAGCATAGAGAGGTCTTGTAAACTACAGGGGTGACAGCTTGAAAGTCAGTGCTGCCCAGGAGTGTCACCGATTTCTCCTACATGAGAATCTGTAGCCAAGCAGCACTGAGCAG